CCGGGCGATCCGTCGAAAGAAACGGATATTTCGCAATCGCGAATGACCTCGCCGAATTTTTAGGCACATTGGAACGATTCTTTTCTTTCCATCAGAAAGATAGAAAGGGGAATGACCTCAATGATATCCTGCGAATGGCGGAATCTTGTCTCCTCTTATATCACAGTTATACGTATTTGAGCGTAGAATGGTTGACACTTACGATATCTTATCATCGTGACGTGTCGCCAGGATGACATACATTCTCACCGAAATATTACGCATCTGCTTGGCTGTCGGTACAACGCGAGTACTCCGTTTCATATATGAAAAAGGGATCTCTCGTCGCCGATCTAGTCCGACCGACGGTTTAGCCGAGGAAATAGTTTACCCGAGCGTCTCGCCAAAGGATGGAGCGGAAGAGAAGAGTCGTAAAGACCTTTCACCTCCGCTCTCGCGAGTCTCCTCACTCGCTCGCACGTCGTAAACCATCTCCACGAGTCTCTCGTCTCTCGGATACGATCTGACATTATTACCGTCGTATTATATAAAATATGGCTCTCTATACATGCTATAGGCTGTTTCCCGGGGAACTGATAGAAATAAGCTCGGCGGAAAAGATGAAAAAATCATGTCCAGAATTATCGATTTTTGCGAAAAAAAAAGTAATCGACGAATAGATATTTTAGATCCAGTATTTGAGTTATTATTGCTACTTCGCAGCAACAAACTTAATACGAATTGCATCTGTACCGAGTCGGGAAGAATAAATACGTCAAGTAAATTCTAATAGGATAACTTTACGAAAAAGAGTAATAAAGTTTGCGGTCGTTTGCAAAGTCAACAATTATCGAACGTACTTAAAATAAGCAAAGAAAACGACGAGTCCGTCGACGAGAATAAGTCGTCTGTATCGCGCGTTGACTTGCACATTTTCAGATACAACGTCGCGCAATTTTGTTTCATCAAGATAGCCCTCGCCGACGCAAACAAAGTGCTTCCAACACGAGGTAATTAATTACGGTGATCTGATTGCACGCGATTAATCCTGCCGACTTTCGAGCGGATCATTAATTAAGGGTGAATAAATGTCACGGAGGGGGGATATGTAGGTGCTCCCTCGAAAGGACACGCTCATTTATTTGGAATAATTTAGTTTAAATGAGTAAACCGGTCGCGCATTTCTTAAAGTTCATGGTCGATATCACAGACTCGAGACTCGATTTGCATCCCTGCAAGATATGATCGATCGTTCTATTAATTCGTGAGGCAATTATTACTTAGCGATATTTACACGCAATTTACATAATATGTTTTTTTACGTTTATATACATATACCCTACAAGGTATCCCTCATTCATCAGCGAGACTGAGCTTTAAATTGCTTCGCGAAACACCTGCCGCTATAGTTCCAAGAGCGGAAATTCCGCGACGAGAGGACGGATAACGTATTTCTTTCGCAAGGGGTTCGTCGGCGAAGCTCTCCGGAGAAATTGCTGTATTTTGTACGTATAACAGAGGGATGTAATTATTATTCGGTACAACGCGGCCGGGTTTTCCTCGGTCTCGCAACTCCGTGCAACGATGAGCTTTTTTTTTTATTATTTATACGGCTCATTGTGCTTCTCTCATACTCTAGGAGTTTTTTCGCCGGGTTCTCTCCTGTTCGCCCCGTCTTGCGTCCAGTTATTCCGTGCATCTCGCGGAAGAAAAAGCGCGGCGAAAGCATCGCTTACGGATCCTCTCCTTCGCGTTCTCCACCTCCTCGTCGCTTTCAGTATTCACGAGCTTCCCGAGCGAGGTGAACGCTTAAAATGCGGCAACGTTAGGCGGATGTTTTAATTTGTTTGCGCCACGTCGAGCTAAACCGCGTAATCGCCGCACTCTGTTGCGCATAAAAAGCCGGCGCGCGATCACCACCGTCCAATCTCTCCGAGGAATTCCTACTTTGTTATTTAATTATACGATCACGGCTTCCGGTGTATTCACATTTTGATTATGAAATAAAAGGAGGAGAGAGGAAAAAGAACGTCTCTTCTCTCTCGGAACCCTCTTTCGTGGCGTGATTTCGCCATTTCCCGCCCTCCTCCTCCGCATCTGGCAACCTTTGTCCATAAGACCAAGCGGTTTAATAACATGATTCAAGGAGCGGCATCGGTCGGTACATTAAGGTCAGGTGGGTCGAGGTATATAAAGATAATAGCCCGCCACCGATCGATCGTCGATAGCTCTTTTGATAGATCCGACTACAATGTTATATACTATGTGAAGCTCGTAGATCGCGACGAACGCGCGGTCAGTCTTATCAAGGAAAAAAATACAGAGCGCCCGGTGATCAAATTTAAACATGTCGTAATAAATTAACTCTATTAAACTACCGAGAAGAGATCGGAAAATTCGCAAAATTTCAGACATCCACAGGAACGATTCTTCGGAATTTTTCCTCGATAAATGAAGAACTCGTTCCGCGAGATGGTCCATTTCGATGACGCTGTCGCATCCGTATCACGGGGATGCGATGCCTTAATGATGAGATCGGAAAGAGCGCGAGGCCGCCGTGCTCTCGCACACACCATGGGGTCAAGGCGGGGTCGCGGAGCGTAAAAATAATAATCAATCGAACGACCGGTAAGTGAGAGCTCGGCAATTACGCGGTGGCGGCGGTGCCTGTGCTGCGGTTTGCCCCGGCCCCGGCCACGGCCGCAGGCGAGCCAGCGGGAGAGACCGGAGAGAGAACTTCCTTCTACCGCCTTTAATTCGCCCCCCGTCTCCCCTTGGCGCGGGGCGCGCGCGCTATCATAACGTAACAACGCGAGACTCCCTCGCTTTATATTATTAAAAGTTGAAATTCCGGTGGGAGAGCCGAAGCGATCTTGCGGCGAGCCTCTCTACAGGCATCCTCTCCAGCTTCCTCCCTTCCTCTCTCGATCTCCTCTTTCCTCGAGCTTCGCTCGATTCGCGTTTTTCTCTTTGCCCTTTTTGTTCCCTCTTCCTCTCCCTCCCCCCCTCATCCCCTCTCTCTTTCCGTAAACTCATACAAACGTTTATTGGCGCGATACTCTGTGTTCATAACGGCCGCTGGTAGCAATCGTGTTATAGCTCTCCCGCGTTCCCGGAGCATTCCCATGGATAATCGTATTACCATCTATCTTGTACGCCGCCTCGAGATGTCGAATCGGGACTCGAAACACGCGGCTCTCTCGTCTTCCGCCTCTTAACCGCGAATAACGATAACTGCTCCCTCTCGAAAGTTTTCTCGCGGTCGACGTGGAAATGCCGGCGCGTTTCTTCTCACACGTTTATTATAATTCGACACGTATATAGCCATGTCGTCTCGAGATTAAGGGATTAGAGGAATACAAGCGATATCGAGTTTTAATTAAACCAAAATTTATACCGTTTATCGACGACTTTCATTGCCGAGGTTTCGCTCGTTCGCGATGTACGGATCGAGTATATTGGTCTCGATACATCGCCGTTTCGACAATTGAGTTTCTCCCCGGTTGTCGAATCGCCTGACAACCCGATATTGTCGCAAGGTGGTAAAACTGTCCGCCGAAGAGTAAAGAGATCGAAGCGAGTGCGTGCGCGCGCGTGTGCATGCGATTTACGTGAGTTACGCGATGCGTCCAATCGCCATTTACTCGGAGATTGATTGAAACGCGCCAGTGCAGCGTCGACGTGGCTGTTACAATGCTTTTAAACGAAACAGGAGTCAGCTATAGAATTTTTCGTCGATGAAAAAGCAGGGAAAAATAATAAATTAAAAAATAAAATGAATTGAAAGATAAAAATATATATCGAATAACAAATTAAGGTAAATGGCTATAACTTCGTCAGCGGATATAATTTCGTCATCAAGCCTTCTTAAATAAATTAAGCAATCTCGTATATCGACAATATTTCCGATGTTCAAATCGGGAAATATAATCGATACACGCGAGATTGCTTAATTTATTTAATTTTAAGAAGGCTTGACGAAATTATATCCGCTGACGAAGTTATAGTCATTTACCTTATTAGATAAATCGTGAATTATATCATGATGGAAGCTTAAGCGGGTTCTAGCTTCTCTAAAAATTTATTCATAAATTCTAATAAAATTTTGTCATAATTAAATTTAATATTTACATTCCATATTACACGCTTGATAAATGACGCTTTCTCCCTTTCTCCCTCTGTTTCGCGGACTATCTATATCGATTTAATCAATACAAAAAAATCACAAGCGGAGAATTCTTTGCATTCCATACTTCGATAGAATCTCATTTACGCTCGGAATAAACTGTTCGGGGAATATCGATCAGGAGGCGGGGGATATTTTTGCGCTCGCGATATTCTCCTTTTATCTGACGATTAACGACGCAGTAACCCGCTCGATCGGGAATGATCCGGCGCGGTTTTTTTCGCGCGATTACGTATTATGCTAAACACGCGAAAATGGCTTTTTAAATGAAACATCTACATTTATGTAGCCAACGTGGCCGTCCACCGATCCGCGTCTCGACCCTACGCGGACAGCCGGCTACATCGTGGTGAAACACGAGAGGAGCAACGGCGAATTAAATGCAATTTTCGTCCAGCGAGGCATGCATAACAAATTGTCGAACGTCTTTATACTTAGAAAACTGCGCGCGACATTATGCACGGATCGGGGTGGATGGAGAGAGAGGGCTATTTCGTCGCGCAGCCGATTACAATCCGATTATTATGCCTGCATTAATGTCCCACTGTCCCTCGCTCGACCCCTCCTACGTGTAAGCACGTACTCACCTGCGCGTAATACGATCGACGAGAGCGGTGCGAGCGGAATTTCTAAACGAATGCAATTTAAGAAGGAGCAATAAAGCAGAAACTGGCTACCGGGAGTGGAGCCGCCCCTGCCTCTCTTCCTACCCATCCTCCCTACCGCCGCTGCTACGCTCGATCCTTAAAATTGAAAATTAAACGTTTCGCAGCGTACAAGTGAATTTTTAAGGGCGGCATGTCTAACCCGTGCCTTCACGCTTTTTCTGTTTCAGGATCCGACTTCCGTGAGTATAGGTCATTAAGTTACCGCCAAATGCTACAAAGTAATGGCTTCGGCCCCGAGAAAATCGTGCCCCGACCCCGTCGGCAATTAATAATTGCGGAGCGCCAGTTTCTTCGCGTAAGCACGAGAAGCTGTGCTGGCCAACGAGAAGTTTCGCGCGTATCAACATGCATGTAGTTTACATTGCTAATCGCTGAAAAAGTTTCGCGAAGGCGAGACGAACCCGTCTCGTAATTATTCGTAACGCGAAACTTCTTCGATTATTAACGCACGCATTTCTGTTACATGCTACGGATCGACCAATCGACCTGGTTCAATCTTTCTGGATATCGCCGCGAATCGTTTACGCAGGGCGTAAGTATCTGTGATTATTTTCCTTTGAAAAGTTTATCTGTAATATTTTCGCGCAAGCACGTTGCATTTACAAGGCTATGGATCTCTATTACAACCAATGATTATTATTTTAATTTCATCATCCGCAATAATGGGCGAGAAACAGTCAAGAATAATATTTAATGAGTTGAAGTAATAACGGCATTCGCAGCGCAAAATACAAAGAAAATATATATTAACTTGATAAATTATTGAAGAACTTCTCTACCTGCTCATATCTCGCATAATTGGTTGTAATAGAATCCTCCTTTTTCCTTTACGCGGATTATTTCATCCTTTGGATAGGTTGCGGAAAATGTGCATGCATTCTCACGATCCCGATAACAGAACTAATAGGGGAATTTATAAATATCATTAGTCGACAAAAGACAGATACGCGATTCTGGATCCATCGACAATAACGTAATGTCGCTTCATCTTAGTCGATCATGCCGGCAACTCGCTCGTTCTGATAAATCGGGGGAGAGAAGGGAAGGTATGGGCCCGAATACGAAACGACGATATGCATAACTGACGTCTCTATAGCATTAAAACTGCGGCCGTGGCGCTTCGGCGTCCCGACGGGGGTCCCCAGACGTCGTCGGAGACATTGAGCGCCGCGGGCGGCCATTGTCTCAGAGGGGTCCCAAGGGCGAGCCACGACGAAGGGCTCGACCCCGGCTTGACACGCACGGGGGGAGGTCGTAGCACCCCGTCGCGGTCCCTCATGAAATTAATAATCGAAATTCGAGTATCCCTACGCGGGCCAGAAGTTAACGCGCGTATACCCACTTGAGCCCGCTTCGTCCTAGGAGGGGACGGGGATTCACGATGGGCCCCGCGACTCAGCAATCCCACATGTCGCACGCCTACGCGATGAAAACGAATGTCGATCGAGTGAGTTATAGTAAGAAGTTTTAGAATATTGTTAAAAGTGTGAATAAAAGGCTTCGTCGTCAACTTGTATTTTAATCGTATCGTTGTATATTTTGATTTAAGAAGGATATGAGAATTCTCTTAAATAAAATCAGTATATTATCATTCATAAAAAGTGGTTTCAGTTATAAATATATATCACACGATGAAATATCATTGAAAGAATTTGTTGGAGTAATAAATGTTAATCAGTGATATTTGAAATGAATCTTATAATATTATATATGTGAGATAAATTAATAGAAATATTTTATTTATTAAAGAAATATCTGAATTTAATCAAGAATTTATTTAAGAATTTCGTTCACTTTTTATGATTCGTCTTATTTTAAGAATAAAAAAATATAACATGCATCTAATTCTAAGTTTGAATACTAGTTGTACAAAGTTTTACCATCATAATCAATGAGATATAAGACAAAGGAGCAAAATCTTGTCATTGATTAGTAAAAAAAAAATTAGTAAAATATTTACTGATCTTAATCGATTAAATTAATGATAATTTAAATTTAACGAAGGATATAATAGAAATTTTTGAAAAATAAAAGAAAAGAGACCTCTTGAAATTTATTAGAAACTTTTTTTGATAAAATCTAATTGATAATTTTTCACGGAAATAAATCAAAAGAGAGCCAGCTATTATTCGCCTCGCATACTTTGGCTTCTGAAATGTTCCTTTATCGATTTTTTCGCCGTTTCACATAGACATATCGCGAGCACGGTGCTATAATATAAGCGTGCAATTAAAAGCATGCAGCGGGGACATTTATGTTGGTACTAACTGCCCGTTAAGACGGAGAACCACCTAACCGTGGAAGGTGTAATTGGCCGACATGCTGAACCTGCAGCTCGTAAAAGCGCAGCGGGCGTGCCATCACAGTTTTTCTAACGCGACGTTTACAAATTGCGTTTTTGTTGGATTCAACACACTATCTAAGATCGATTTTTTGTAATTTTGTGGACTGCCATCGTTTTTCGATGAGTCGAACGGAGAGAGAACACGCTTGTACATACACAACGACGATCGTCGCGTAAAAAATCCAGTTTGAACGCGAGGGAACTTATTTTAAGGTAATTAAAAAATAACTGTTCCGCCTCTCGTTAATTATGTAACCGGGCGGGAAATGGAAAACTAATTGTAAACAAATTTACAAGTATATACCGGAACCCGTTGGTCGGCCGATCCTCTTAACGTTCTCATCAAACGTATAATAGGCTGCGTGGTTAGATAAGCCTGGAGGTAAGAACGTTTCGACGTAAAAAAATGTGTTGTTATTACTGCGGTTATTAATACAGATCCACCGGCAGATAGCGTAATTGTGCTACAACAGTAGTCAGCAAGTATAATTTTAATTGCGATAAACCGTCATTATGGCAGCTTTGTTCCGAATGGGTTTATGAGAGTCAGCCATCGCACGTAACGAAACGAGGGAGAAAGAGAGAGAGAAAGAGAGAGATTTGAATATAATTTTGTCGTGATGAGAGGGCCACGAATTATTCGTATCGAAAAAGAGGACGCGAGGTAAAATCTCTTACGGTCTTGCGGGGATTCTTGGCCGCGCGATTATATTATAATCCGAGATATATATTGCTTTATTATATATAGTCGCGGAGCGTTTATCGCGTTGTAAAAAAAGTTGTTTATTTTACTTAAAAATGTTACACGTTGGCGATTTTTACGATCGCATGATACAACGCCGGACGTAACAATGTTGATTAGCATAGATCTAACATAGGGATAACGTAATTGCGCTACAATGTAATCGGCCGGCCGGTCGTAATATGCAATATACCGAGTGCCCTATACGCGCGAAGGAGAGGCGAGCAGCTCTTGCATTTTATTATTAGTACGCACGCCGCTCGTTACGCTACCATCCGTTCCTATACCAAGATACGCATTCTCCCGACGATTCCTTTCCATCTCTCTCTCTCTTTCTTTCGCGGCTTCGATTAAAATGCCAGACGTCGGTAGGCAAAGAGAGATTCGCCGTGATACGCGATATTGTTACGCGTGTACATGGTGTAACTGTCCGGATCCGTGACGGAGTCACGCGATATGCATTATGCACGCACGTAACGCGCGGCAGACGTTTCCGCCATCGGTCCCACGATGCACCGGCGTCGTTGACGGCTCTCTCGCTCGCTTTGTGAGAAACGAGCCATTGACGCGCGCCGCCTTCACATTTTCGCGCTCGCACGCGGAAAAGATACCGCCGATCTCTGTCCCTCTCGTCTCGGTCCTATGCATTATTAATCCCGCCGGGGGAAAATTCCGGGTTAAATGGCGCGAACACAATGATGCGCGTTAATTACACACACACAGCCGCATTATTACTTTCGACCGGTAGCGTCAATTTAGCGCGCGCGCATCTTACATAAAACGCAATTATTATCGCGATGCTGTTACATTCGCGCGATGCGCGATTCTCGCGTATCGAAGCTGCTATCGAAGCTCGTGCGAGGAAGACGCATCGCTCCCTGGGTATGACGTAAGGAACGTACGCAACGCGTTTCACGAGACGCGTCTGCCAGCTCAAGAAAATGAATACAGATAGGTTTGACAGTTTTGAATTTGATGCGCGTGTCAAAAAATTCCGTCAATTTTTACATCAACGTTGATTTTCCATCAATTAACGAAGAGGGGAAATCTGCCTCTGAAATAATTTTCCGCGGAGAAAATAATTCGGAGTCGAACTTTTCTTCTCAAATACGTTATTGTTTGCGAGTGATGAAAACTAATCGTGGGATGAATCTTTGACGTCTCGCTTTCCCTCACGCGATGAGTTGAACATTTTCTTTTTTCCGGTATCGCAAGAACAGAGGAGGGTATCGGGAGAGCGACTTTCACCGTGCGTCTCGTCAACCATCTGTCGTCGACCGGACGAGCGCGAAAAAATGTCGCGGTGTCGCGATCCGCGATGCGACCACGTTATGGACCTCCGATCGCGACGCGCGGTGGTTCATTTACCACAACTGCATTACCCCTACGCGACGCGCCATTATTTTTATTAGCATAATGACAGGCGAACAACTCAATTTGCATGGAAAATCACACGGATCCCGTAACGAACCTCGCCCGCGGATCCAACGATGGTCATCTCTTTCTATACATATACATGTATGCGTATGTGTGTATATATATTATATATGCGATACGCGAAAAATATTGTAGGGGGCTTGACGTACGAAGAGGAGAGCTCTACTAGTTCGAGTCCGTAGCGAATACCACTCTTCGGGATACCACGCTCTATCTCTCTCTCTTTCTCTCCTTCTCTCTTCGCGCTGGATAATTCCGTATCATCATCGAAATTGCCGTCGATCGTCGTCGTTCTTCTCGTCCGCGGCTCGATCGAGAAGATCGTTTGCCACCGCACCTGATCCAATCGTCCATTCGATAATTGGCGCCCGGTAATGAGACGCAGGATTACCTGCGTCAGATTGTTCGGGCAAATTTTTGCGGTAAAAAGAAAATGGGCGAGAGAGTGGCGCCGTTACTTTGAAGAAAAATAAAAAGACGAGCGACGTATATATACGTGCAGAGTCCCCAAAGACTTCACTTGGACGAAACAATTTGCGACGAAATGCGTGTATCTGGCCTCGATTCGTGCAAAGTGTTACTCTGTCTAGAAATGAAGATAAATGCGGAATGATGTTCGGGGCGTGTAACGATTATCGCGCGATTATTTATCGATCGTTGCTCCAAGTCGGACGGATACAAATTCGACGAAGTTCTCGATACCTCAATAAGGAAGCGCGAGCTTATCGATGCATTAAATTTCATACGCTTCGCGAGATTGCATCTTAACGGGGAAAAAGTGCGCTCCATATTGCATTTTTTTGTAACAGCAAATATTACGAGATATCGATTATAACGTATTATGGAGATCAAGCTGCTAAGATTGTATAATTTCGTATTGCATATTACTTTCACTTCAATGGAATATTTTACTAGAATTTTTTCATCAAAACCCATCGATTTTAATTACAATAAATGTTATAAATTAAGCATTCCATTTTAAAACAAAAAGATAGGCGATATTTTTGAAAAATGCATATCAGCAGAGGGCAAAATTTGTGTATCTCTAAGCCGTAATCATTATTCCAGTCACTTGGCCCCCGTGATTGACAAATTGCAAAAGATTATTTAGAGTGAATCCTGACTTTATACGTCGATCGTTAGCTAGATCCTCATCTCGCGACGACGCGAGCGAACGATGAACGGAGCCGATCGCCTCCCTTTTTAGCACCGCGATCGGGCGAAATATTATGTAAATAGAGTGCGTTAAAACGCGCGCGATTTAGAGCCCGTCTCTCCGTCTACCCCGAAGATACCGGATGGATATAAAAGGAGCATAAAGTAATATTTAGCGCGCGCGCTTAAACGAAATTGCTGTAATCCCCGGCCGAGGCGGGTAAAAGCGCCGCGCGCGGGGAGCAGAGGGGAAGAGAATCGCGGGCGAGGGGATGCGGAGATGGAACGGGGAGAGAAAGAGAGAGCGAGAGGGCATTAACATACCGATTTACATAATGCGTATAATTCGAGCAATTATGAAGGGAAATATACACAATTTGATATAATGGCGGATGTTTAGGGCCGGCGTTATATCTACCGCGGGAGATCTCTCCGATGTACGACTAGAGAGAGAGAGAGAAAGAGAGAAAGAGAAAAGACCCCCCTCTTGCATTGTTATGCATATGCAGGGGTAGAACGGGGGGAGGCATTTGCGAGAAGACGAGATAGTTTTAAGCGGGTTACGCAGGTGCGTATTGCGCGTACGTAAGCAAACCATCTCGCGATTTAAGCGATCTAAGGTACATCTCTAGTCCCGAATCGTCGTGTCGTATCTTTACGAGTGTGTTGTACGAAACACACCGAGGACACTCTCGTGAGAGTTTGTCCGATCCTCGAGCAGGCAGGAAGCGAGATAATGCAACAGGACGACATTTCAAAATTACAGAGCGCGTTTCAGTGATAAAAGGGCGGTGCCGTAGATGCGTTATCTACTGCAAGGTATTTACATGCCACATCTAACATCGTTATCCGGTGCTATAATCACTCGTGCGAATTCGACTTTGAGTAATAGGATTATAAAGATATGTCTCTCGTTCTGCCATTCTCGCTGTACATCTCGTTTTTTATGAAATAACGTGATTTCATTTTCGTTTTACGATAAAATTTAAATCATTTACAAGTTACAAGAACAGTTGTAAATCTTGAAACAATGAATATTTATTTCGATTCTGTTACTGTAATTGATATAATAATTTATGTACACTCGACAAGTGAAGAATAATGTGCGTTGCATTGTAAAAATTCCATAAAGTTTGTCCGATGAATATCGCTATTTTTTAATCTTGAAAAAAGATTTAAAATGTTAATCTCCTTAATGACGGAGCATCTTCACGCCTACCTTTTCCTAGGTAGACATTGATTGATACAACCAGCATTTCTAACAGATTTTAATTTATGTTTTTACACGACGAACATGAATTTTCCCGAGGTGGTTGGCACGGTTTCTCATTCGCAGCTGTCAGATGGTAATGTTGTAATTATAATGAAAATATTGCGCGAGATAGGCATAAGTCTTGATGAATAAAAATATGAGAGATAAAGTAACGCGCTCAAAGTGTAGTTACTTTTTAACGACGTGTATTACGATCGCGTAAACTTCCGAGCATGCTATACGTATTGCCCCCTTTCCTTCGCATTCAACTAAATATACATATCTATAAAATAAATAAAATATTCTCTTTATTATGTACATTTTTAGCGCTCTACATTGATTTAATAATCATATTTTTGTTACACTTTTTACTTTTAATTTTATCTCGATACTATATAAAAGAATTGCAAATCGATCGTGAACACAAAAGAGTTGCAAAAAGAAATATCGAAATTACATTCGAGTCCAATCATCGTACATATTAATTGTAGATCTTCCAGTTCGATTTGAGAATTTTTCGCCCGCAAAAATATTCCATTATCTGATATTCTATCTAATCGGTCTTGATATTGCAATAACGGCGAGTGAGAAGTGGAATAGAGATATTTTTACAATTTTGTTGAAATGTATTCCCCGAAAAGAGATAACGACGCGAAGAGGAAAAGGGGAAGAGGGTGACTAACGAGACAGACCGCGTTTATCAGTCGTATAGTGCGCGGCGGATGTATGCGGTCTCATTCCAATTAGCGTTACAGGCTGAGCTAATTGCGCGATATAAATCGCCGTGACTTGAAAAAGTTTTGAATAATTAGACGGAGAGCGGGGTTGCGCTTGGCGCGGCTTTATTACACGCGCGTTTGAATATTTAGCGCAGCTCGCGATTCGTTGCATCGCACATCTCGATTGTAAAGGGATGAATAATTCGCTTTTTATTATGCGCATATTCGAAAGCGACTCGCTACCCGCTAACAAGGTCGATTAGCGCTCGCACGATGATCGATATTAAAAGCGTAAAAATGTCAAAAGCGAAAAAGGATTCCCGGGGTCGAAATTTGTTCCTATTTTCAATCTCGATTTTCATACTTATGAATTCTGAGGGAATAGGTTTTAATTAGGCTTTAATAGGTTTAATTGATACCGAGCTTTTATTTATCTCGAAAAGATAATAAACTAATAGTTTTCCATTTAAAAGTATAAAAGAGGAGTTTTCGGCAAAATTAGAGATTGAATAATTTAAAGGAGAGTAATATCCGACTAATTACATTAAATCGGGACTTTAATTTTTATATTAATTAAACCTATCGATATCTTTCAGAATCCATAAGCGAGAAAAACGGGGCTGAAAATAATAGAACGAAAAAAACTCGGAATAGCATTGATAACGAACGCTATTATGGAAATGAGCACTACTTAATCAATATGCTTTGGATACATTTTTGGATTATTTTTTCGTTAATCTGTTGGCACGTTCGAAAAAAACCACGCAACACAGAGATGTATATAATACATGCAGTATTACGCATAATATTTAATTCGCGCGAGATCACGAGTGTCGGCCGGTAGATCGAGACGACCGAGAGAAGACGATGGTCGGGGGGGGGTGGACGAGGGTGGACTAGGGAAGTTGAGAGAGAGAGAGAGAGAGAGAACGAAGGGGAACGAAGAAGAGAGGTACACTCGACTCGCGCGCGTATCTCAAGATCTATCTGAATAATAACGTGTACGACAACATGTCAAATTATACAGAACCGCGACACACGCAGCCTGTAGAACTCACACATACATATGAGTATTATATATATATATATATATATATATATATATGCGTGCGTGTGCGTGCGTGCGTGCGAATGAACGAGCGTGCGTGTCGGCATTGGTGAACAAGAGGGAGATTCGAGGGGGAGGGTGAGGGTGGTATGAGGGCTACATGTGTTCGCGGTGGCGGTGACTCTCTCTCTTTCTCTCTCTACAGCACTTTTATAATTATCCGACTGGATATCGTGGCCGCTCGTTGAACGAGATTCGCGAAACACCATTGCGTTTTACCTGACTGCGAATCAAGTCGATCTTAACCCCGCAATCCACCCTTCCACTCTCCCTTGATTATTACCTTCCTGCCGCCAGGGCCGCCGCGCTTTTTTCAAATACTTTTCATTCTTCAATCGTTTCTTCATCATAGGATTACTCGTCGCGATAATATACAGGAGAAGGAGGGCGAGCTAATTCGAGGACAATATAAGTATCGTGCATAATACCTTTCAACAAATTTTGCATAAGATCGAGCGCAAAGATCTCTAACGGAAACTAGGTTTCTTTAGAATACATCGTGACAGCGTTTCTTACGCAAGGCACGTAGCGAGAATCCTTTCTCGCTGACAAGCGGCGTCGCGACTTACCCGACCCTGCACGCTTTCCGCCATCTCGTCACGGAGGTACCGGTGACAATTAAATCACAGCTCTCCCGCTTGATCATGACGGATCACCGTGCCCTTGCGCGCGTCCCTCGTCGCACGCTCCCGCTATTTTGCCTTGGAAATCTCGACTCGAATTTCCTCGTCTTCGCGATCCTCATCGCTTACTCTGCACGCGGAATCGAGCACCTTAAGCCCCGTTCGAGCACCTCGTTGCTGCGATATCGCAACGAGGTACGACGTAATCGAGATCAACGCGCGCCCGTCCCCCTTCTCGCCTCCTCCTCGACATCTATCTGAAATGTCATGCCGTGAAACGTCCGAAAGGATCATCGACGAATCGTCCGAGGTCGATCGAGAAATTCGGATAGTCCGAATAGGCCTTTAACGGCGCGACTGTATCGCTCGGCCATCGCTCGACCCGTACACGATCGTCGTCGGCCGTGATTGCCGCCTGTCAGCAATCGTCGACGTATATATAGGCGATAATTTCGTCGTTACAATCAAGCCGCGACGCGGTAATGACAACGATGATGGATCTACGGCGCGCGACGCGCTGAACTTTGTTTGCTCGACGGGGCCACGCGACGTATATGCAAATCGTGCTTACGCTATATAAATAAGGTCTTAATTAATACTAACGAGGCTGACGCGCATGATACGCGTGTAACCATCGTCCTTTCTGTTTCACGCCTCGTCTCCTGCTACGCATCCTGGACGGACGGATCTGCACACTCATCGTGGATCGCCGCAGTATGTAAGTACATGTGCAAGCGATGTTTTATTGATATCGTCGCGCGATCATTTATCATATTCGAGGAAGTCGGGTGCTCGATTGGGCAACGAAATTAGACACGAGTGACGGCGATTTTTCAAGCATAAACACAGTCGCGAAAGTGATTTATCATCGAGAAATTGGAAAATTTCATTTAAATTTTATTCTTTTCGTCCCTGATTTCTGACCCTTTTATCTGCCAACATTTGGTTTACGTATCTTTTGATTTATATGGAAAATGACGAAATCGATTGCCGGGAAAGTACCCTCTCGATAGCTTAAGTCCTCTCGCGTCGAGAAACTTGGCGGGACGAGCACTTGTTCTCTCAATTATCGTTTATCGTCAATCGAAATTACTTTATCGATCTAAAGCGCTATATAAGCCCCGCCTAACGGCGGCTTTCGATTACTCGACAATGTCGGCCCGTCTGATGTCGATGCTTTCATTATGTGGAATATGAGCCCTTGCTAGCTCTCTCTCAATCCTTCGATGCCGTTTATCTTTTCACCTTTCTACCAGCCACCTGTCGACCCATCGACGCACAGTCAACTATATCTTCTTGCGAGCCGATATAAAAGAGCCTAATCCATTCGAATCAATTGTATAAATTTGTCATCTTCTTTATATGTCCCAGATAAAATATGCTCTTTTTGAAACGAAAATATGTTTTAGTACTGATTCTGAGAAACAATGAGACACATTGCGCTATCATTTTTTTATTACTTTCTTAAATGGAATGAAACATTGAAAAGCAATTAATAATAATTATTAATAACTGACGGTCTGAGCACTGTTGTTGTAAATGAAAGAGTCAATTACTACATAAATCAGTTCTATTTTTCTAAAAAATGCATATATATATTATTATTATCATCATTATATATGTGAAATAAATTTGTAACAAGATATCTTATTAAAGCAATATCTGCGTTTGATTAAGAAATTTATTTATAAAATTCTTTATTGGATATATCACATCTTAAGATATTAAAAGAGATATTAAAAATAACAACTTACAATAAAAGAAGCATCTAGCAAATATAATTATTGATCAATGAAATCTGCTCTAATCAGTGCGACATAAAACACGTACAAAAATACAAATATTTTCGCTGATTCAGTAAAAGGAAATATACATATACGGATCTAGAACGCTAGATGCGCCGCAGTCGATTACGGTTAATACGCGCCGTATCTCGTGGCTGGGAGGGCGCGGGGAGGAAGAGAAGGTAGGTAATCGGGGGTATATGGCGGAACGCGGAGGACGGGATCTCGGCGCGCGGGATCCGCTGGCGGGCACCCGTGGACTCTGCGGCCTGCGGTACTGGCCGAGTACGTCGGGCTTGGGGTTAATACGGTGGCCGGTGATGCACGACCGACGCAACGCTGCGGGTAGAGCGGCTGACCGCACGCCAGCTGCCCGATGCCTGGTCCGACCTGCCCGCAAAAATCTGTAGCTGACCCTTGTGTCGAGTGTTGCGTACCGCCACCCTCCCCTCCCACCCCCCTCGTACCCGAAGCGACACTCCGTGCCACCCTTGCACGCGTTATACGTTACCCTCTCTCTTTCTCTCTCTTTCGGAATATTACTCTTGTACGCTTGGTTATCGACTGGCCTCGGTCCGTCATTTAATGTCCTACGGAATGTTTCTGAATTGCGGGCGAGAATGTTGAAGGACATTCTATGCTCGAAATTGAATGGAAAGTCCTGCTCGACCGTTTGTCTCGGCATACCGTTTTTAATCGAGTTGAATTGAGTCACGATTTCTTTTTTACGCGCGCATGAAGTATGAAGCTTTTTATCTCCGAATATAAAAATTCTTTTTCAACGTTTATAAAATTTTGCGAGGGATTTTAACGTTGAGCAATTCAGTTCAATTTTAAATTTTGATCTCTTGATAATTTATAAAAAAAAATTAAAAACAATTTGAAATTTCCAAACCATACGATCTTGTCAATTTTCACTTTAATCGAATCATTTTTTGATATTTTTTTGATTTTTTGATGAAAGAGAGAAAGAGAGAAGAAGGTATCATTTTTATTTTTAAATCAGACAAAATTTTATCAAGTCCAATGGCTTTCGTGTATATAAAAGCACGTTCAACTAACGGGGAAAGATGGCTGCAACACGGACGATATTGAAATTTCACGCACGTCTGCACGGCAGCGAGGTAATTGCGTTAAACGACGCGGATGCGTATGCGACTTCTGGTGCCTATTTCTGTGTCAACTCTCGTACCTCGCGCCGCGCGCAAATAATGGAATTCTCATCGCGCCATCGTCGAGGCAACAACAACAAAGGAAAAAAGAGACGACGCGTTCGATCAATTTCCATTATGCGTCATCGTTGTCAATCGCACGTCGCCTACGATGCGTCGTCATTATCGCCGCGTCGTCATCTCGATCGCCGACAGAAAACCGAACGCTCGTCGACTAACAACGCGCTAGCGTGACTCACGCGCGACATATTAATGCGACGAATTGTCTGGAGTCTCGACTCGAGAACTTTGCCTTCCAAGAGGCTTTGCTTCGTTTCCTCGGTGTCTTTTATTCCGTGTCGGTCCCTTTGCATTCACGCGTCGATCGCGCGACTTACTCTGCCCTCCCAGGTTGTATTTCCGAAAAACGACGAGCTCGCAGTCCGTGAATGCTAATGTTGGGGTTCTTGAAACTCTGCTTAGCTGACAATGAGTACCATAAAAATTGTGTGATATTGCTTGAATTTTTATTCATTCTGGAGATTCATGGATTTTTTATTTGCAATAAATTTAGCAATAAACATGTATACATACTTTAATAATATAATAAATGTGTAAATTTTTAAAGTTTGCAGAAGATAACGATATCGTCAAAAGTTTCTCATTGATAATTTAACAGGTCGTGAATTATTTCTTGATATTTTTTATTGTAAGTAAATCTATCCTCAAATTTTAATATTACTTACAATATTACGTGTGTAGGCAATCTGTTAATATGCAATCTCACACGAGATGCTAGTGCCTAAAGATGTTTCGCGTGGGAAAGAGTCTCATTCAAGCGCGATGCGCTTCCTATATGGCTCGATCGAACCCGAGGGTCCGGATGCATCGCGGTAATTTAATTGACGCGCGCGCTGAAATTGCCACAAAAAAGTTCATCTCTTCCTTTAATGCTCCTTTCCCAGCCGGAGCGGCCGTTCGCGTTTCCCACACTTTACTGGAACGCATACCGATTCGCTCGTAATTAATAACGCATCATCCGAGAAAGACTTTGGCACACTTTGCTTTGTATCGATAATTATGGAAAGTAAAGCTACGACAAAGTTTGAGAAAGGATTCGACACTTACTCCAGGTTCCGTCCTGTTCGGCAAGGAACCATTACGAAATAATGGTCGTCGCCGGCCAACTCGAACGGTCGTCGAGGAAACTGATCCTGCAACTTGCACAAAAGCGTAACGGAAGGAGAGTTTGCCGGTGGTTACGTCTCAAAGGAGACTAGCACGAGCGAGTCGCGCAATCGGATTAGCATCGTCGGTCGCAAATATCGTTTTGGTTCGTACTTTTCGGTAGACCGCTTCGCCCTCGAACGAATCCATCTCTCGTCAGGTAAAATAGGTCATCGGAACTTGCGGTTCTGAGGACCGTTCGAAAGACGAGACTGATTTTCAAAAACTCCACCTCCTTGTGTCCGACTATTGTCCGACTTTTCCCTGAACAACGATTCTATTGTGGTTGCGACCTGGCGCCATCGTTATCGTCTCACCAACGGATCCGAAGACACATTTACGTTCTACACACCGGCATCATAATTTTACGCTCCGTGTTACCTGGTTGTGTAACCGATCGGAAAACAATCTTTTCGAACGGTCCTCTAATTTGCCTTCGGTGAACGACGAAAGCTCGGCTCGTGAGGAAGCAGCCCGATGTCTTCCTCTATGTCTTCTATAATCAAGGTCTAATTTGCATGCAACGCAGATAGACTGGACGAGATAATTGGTACACAGTAGGGATTATAGATTCGCGCCAAGACAATGGATATATATTCTCAGCTCGACAGTGATATTGATATAATGGCCGCGCAGGAATTCTATACGATCAATAAGCATGTCGAGATATTTGGATTATGTGCCACAAAAGTCAAAGAAATTTAACGAATTAAGAATTAAAAATTATAAACGGATGATAAAATTTAATAGTTTAATAACTTTTTAAAGAAATTTTTTAATTAGAAATAGTTAATCTTTTTAATCTTTTTTTAAGTATTTTACGAAAAATTACTAGAAAAATAAAAATTTACACACGAAGATATGAATTTTTTTGAAAATAGAGCCGGTGAAATTTTCTTTTCTTAGACATTTGAATATGATTTGCCTAGTCCAAAAGAAATCCTCCGGAGAGATTCGTGCCGTGTGACAGTAACTTTCTAAAGATTGATTGGTCGAAGCGAATCATTCGGAGCATTCCTAAGTAGAAGCGTTCTCCGCGATTATGGTATGGGAAAAAGAAGAAGAAGAGGAAGAAAAGGAAGAAGGGCGCAAGCGGAGAAGAAAGGCCGAAAAGAAGAGGAAGGACGCTCACATAAATACGTACGCAACGCAAACAAAAATCCACAAAGGACCCGCGCTCGTGGCAGATACGATCTCGCGTGCATGCAGATACGAGCATACTAATCTCTCCGGGTCCGGTCTCGCCGAGAAAACAGCGTCCTCTTGTTGCATCTATGAAATATATTAGTCTCTGCCCACACATCCGGGAGACGCGGAGGGGAATTATTCAAGTATGATTATGGCCACACGAGAATTTACGATTTCTCACGGTATTGGAGGATCGCTCGACTCGCAAGCAATATCAAAAGAGTAGGAAAAAAATGGGAAATATAAAATTTACCGTTCTCAGTTTTACGTAAAATCGAAGAGAGAAAGATCGCGCAATGAATACGATACGTTCGCGAATTTTCATTACGTCGTTACATTCGATTCCATCGGATATTCGACGATCGTTG